CCAACCTGAGGGACTCATTTTCTGGCACTATATCTGACAGTGTTTCTCTGCTATTCATAAGGTTTTCAGTGACTAAATATTCAGAAGTAGTTCGTCACCCCTTCTTCCTAGTCTGTCTTCGTCTGGAAGCTCATCTGAAACCTGTCCACCATGTGTGACCCTGCTGGTATTTAAAATACCGGTGGCATAGCTTTCAGAATCACAGCAACTCACAAGCCACCACAGTACGACAAACTGACAGATAAATGGTGATTCTTCCTTATAGGTGTATAGATATTACCATATCACAGACAGCATTGTACTTCAAAATAGATTTTTAAATATTCTTTTTGAGGCTGAATGCAACATCATTCCTCTTCAGTTTGTCATTCCCAACACAATAAACCATATGATTCAAAATGGCCAGAACCAGCCCATTTCCGCTCACTAATGTCTAGGATAGACTCTTGGTGTGGCGCTGTGGGCTAATATGCTGGACTGCAACATGGCTTTGAACCCTCAAGGTTGGTGGTTCAAGCTCACCAGTTGCTCCGCAGAAACCCTATATAGAGTCGCTATGAGTTTGAACCGACCCAGTGGCACTTAACAACAACAGCGATGTTTAGGATATTGATCTTTATACATCCATTCCATTTCAGTCAGTCGTTGATGTTTTAGAACACATTAAAATGATGTTTATCCAGTGAGATATCTAACCAAAATATATGTTGTTTCAGGTTTTAAAAATCAATTTGATTGGCCACAGGAAACGTATTTTGGCGTCTCTGGGAGACCGACTGCACGACGATCCTCCACAGAAGCCCCCTCGGTCCATCACACTCAGGGTAAGTGCACCACCTTCATGTTTTCCCCACTGTTGTCCTCCGGAGATCTTTTGTACAGTAAAGTGACTGAAGCGATGAGTCAAGCAGTACAGGCCATTTCCCAGGTAGCTTACTGCTCTGTATCAAAACGCTCTCATTGTTTATGCTTTTTATAGGACAAGCTGTTTTTCTCTATGGGTTAACTATATATTTGAACATCTCTAATGGAATTCAGTCTGACAGGCCACCACCTTTAGAGACCCACTTCCTCACCTCCCATCCCTCACTTCGATCTCTGCCAATGGTCAAGAAATGTGTTTTCTGTCAAACGCCTCAAACCCATAGAAAGAAAATCACTCAGCAACCACAGTTAAGTAGAGATTGATGTGAAATTTACCTTAGGGTTTTCTACCTTTTTAAAAGAAAAAAGAAAAAAGAAGAAGAAGTAAAACTTGCTATGTTTTTACCCACTTCAGAAAGTTAGAATAGAAAAGCCGACACTTTATTTCATAAATGAGATTTCATCAATATTTTACAAACGATATTCCATCTCTGTTTTTTTTTTTTTAATTATGAGGGAGAAACACTGTGAAAAGGAGAAAGAAAGAGAATAGAAGTGGAAAGAAATTCGAAAAGGGTGGAGAGAATGAAAACATGAGAGAGATGATTGCCCAGCAACGTGGCAGCCAGAGGGAGCAGCTAAAATTAAGCAGTTACTTATTTACATGAGGCCTATCCAAAGTTTTCTAAAAGTCATCAAACAACTGGAATTTTCCTGACATTGGTGCGCATTCCCACTCTGTTCTCCTCTGTATTTCTTCCTCCACTTTCTTGCTTCTCTCTAGTCCTGCACTGCACACACATGCAGACAGAGGGCAGTCAACGTAACTGTGGGCAGAAATGCAGTAGGACACCTGTGACCATTGAGCACATGCCGTCAGGACTGTGTGGGGGCAGGGCAGGAGAGGAGCCAGTAGGATTTTGAGTCTGATTCAGTCATGAAAGGGAGGAGAAAGTATGCAAAGATTTCAGGGAATGGAAGAGAACTGGCTCTAGGAAGAAGCCATGGTGAGATGAATTATTGGGGGAAGGAGACTTTACTAGAATACCCTTGAAAACTTTGGAAATAGTGAGACTAGAAATAGGGCCCATTCTTCTCCATCAGTAAGAGGAGCCGCAGATTGATCAACTTTGGAAAAATGAGCCTACAGCTGGTGGGCTTGATCCACGGCCTTTTCGTTAGCAGCTACGTGTTCTTAACCACTGCCCCACCAGGGCTCCTTGAGAGAGATTATTGCCTTGTTCTATTTTGCTATGTAGAAATGGAAGGAGTCTTTGGGGAGAAATCCATGCTACTTCCTCTAGTCCCTGTCCTTCTCCTGAGCCTCTCCCTCTGACTCCCCAGAAGAAATTTAAGAGAACAGTAAATCAGAGATGGAGAGTCCCAAGAAAAAGTATAGGAGCTTATTCTGTCAGAAGAGTTTCTGAACATTTTGAGGGGAGTAGGGCTGGGATAGCAGTGGCCTGGGTAACCAACATACTCCCAGTCTTCCTGTTACATGCAAACACAAGGACTCAGTGCTCTGCTGCCCCCACCTCACTTCTGACCAGTGTCCGTCAGCCTGAGTGATCTTTGCCATTGAAAACCATCCTCTGCCATTACCCACATTGCTCTGCAGTCAGTATATGTCTTGTGCTGTTTCTATACTGTGTCATCTTCCTGCCTTTAACCAGATACTCTTAGATGGAAGGTCAGCACCCTCTGTGCTTCATTTCCACTTCCTCATGGCATCACCCATTCTGAGGCTGCTCCTTCTCTCGTAAAGTTGCAGAGCCTTTGTAAGCACACATGAGAGTGTCAAGGTTGCTCAGCAGACTTGTGTCTCCCTGTTGCTGCTTTAAGAAACCAGAGTCCAATTCTTTATACTTTAAACCTTTGTCCTGAAATATTTAGTGGGAACAGTATGGACTAAATCGTGCCAATAATAAAATGGTGGACAGTCATCAAGCCTTGGCAGTTGATTCAAAGAAATGACTCCCCAGCCCCACAGTTTGTCTTGTCAGCGTTTCACGGTTTTGAAAGCAGAGGTTAGCCTCAAGGACGTGGTATTTATTTCATGATGTATTTCCATTCAGGAACCCAGTGGTAATCACACTCCTCCTCAGTTGTCTCCATCACTTAGCCAAAGCACTTACACCACTGGTGGCTCCCTAGACGTTCCTCACATTATCATGCAGGGCGATGCAAGGAGGAGAAGAAATGAGAACTACTTTGATGATATTCCCCGATCAAAACTGGAGAGGCAGATGGCCCAGGTAAGGTGTAATTCCTCTGTGATGCTTTGCCTTCCACCCCAATCAAGCAATGCCTTCGAATGTTGACCATGTAGTTTATTCTGCTGCTAATGGACCACATCTAACTGGAATTTTTCTAATGTCTGGTGTATCTTTCATTCCAACCTCCTTTGACCTAAACTGAGACAGGCCTTTCTGGGAATGCAATGGACAATGGGTCTTTAAAAAATTCGTAGAAAAATGGAATGAAAAGATAATGAAATTTCTCCACAAACTTTTTGAAGCCCCCTCAGGTCTACATATCCTTTTTGTGTATGTACATACCCTCTTTTTTTTCATTCTTACTGAAGAAGTTATGTCTGATCTCATTGTACCCAGAGAGTCTTTGCCCTAAAGAGAATAATATTGTGTAAGAATGAATTCACAATGAAAATGAATAATGAAAGTCCCGATTCTAAAACTGCAGATTGTTTGGTAGGGCAGAAGTTGGGGGGAAGTATAATGTTTTTAATTTCCTACCAAGTTTACCCAGCTATATAGAATTGTACTACTGGAACTCTTTATAGCATCTTATGTTGTCACCTTGAATGAAAATGATGATGACTTCTGAAACAGCTGAAGAGAGAGATCTGTCACATTCAGACCTTTCCACATTCTGGGTGGGAATGTTCATGTCTAGCCTGTGCTCAGAACACTGTTCAGAAACTTGGCGTCATCCATAGCAAACAGTGGGCCTGTTACTAAAGCATATTCTGATGGGCAGCTAGCTCTGCAGTTTCACCCTGAGATCTGAAGATGTGGATCTGTTGACAACTATTTGGCAGACTCAACTCTTTTCATACTCATTCTAGGTTCAGACTGATGTGCCAGGAGAAGGTAGGCTCCTCTCTACCTCCCACACCTGAGATGAGAATCTCGAGGTGACAATTTGACTGTAATTGCTATTCCTTGGTTGATAAATATTTTTCTCAACTGTGTGATGAGTTTCCACTTTCAAAAGCCGTTGGTAAAGATTTTATGCTGCAGCTCCCAAAAGAAAAATGTGAAGAGAATGTTCTGGAAGTCATGGCTGTTCTGCCTGTAAATACCCTGAAGGCAGAGGACCTGGGATACATATCTCTGCTTAGCTCTTTCAATATTGAATTATTCTCGGGGTTCTTTGTGCATGGAATGGCAATTTGGGGCACTATAGAGAATCTTTTATTAGAAGGAGATGGAAAATGTATAGGAGACAAGAAAAGGCTGATTTTCCCTTCTTTTCTTGTTAGGTATTATCTTGTAATCCATGTTGCTGTTTTAGTTGATGTTTTTACAAATAGAAAGTCCCAAAGCTTTTTTCCCCAAATACTGTTCATATATATAGATATGTATTTATAGATTTATACATCTATATAGATCTATAGATATATTCCTTGCTATTTGTTAATAAAGTATTTGCAGACTATTGTTGTTGTTGTTAAGTGCCGTTGAGTCGGTTCCGACCCATAGCGACCCTGTACAGGGTTTCCGAGGGTGTAAATCTTTACGGGAGTAGAAAGCCTCATCTTTCTCCCGCGGAGCGGCTGGTAGTTTCGAACCGCTGACCTTAAGGTTCGCAGCCCGATTCGTAACCACTACGCTACCAGAGCTCCTTATTTGCAGACTATATATGTAGTTAATTTCTTTAAAGGCAGTAGTTCAGAGGCATGGTTTGTTTTAACCTTGAACCATATCATCTTTTTATAGTAATACAAACTGAGCCTGTTTGGAATCTTTTTCTTCCCCAAGTAAGGGAGGCTAGTTTTCTATAAGCATTAGCTTTTGACTGTTTCAACTTCAGTAACAGAATCACCTATGTCAGTTGCTCAAATAATTTTTTAAATGTTTCCATATACAAGGGGTAAGTCAACAAGTACTTCTATAAAATCATTTTTAAACAGAAATATCAAAACATGAAACTATTGTTTGTCACTCTATCCAACATATAGGTTTATAGACTTCGAAAGGTGGTATTTCCATCTCTCTGTGGCACTGTGGGTTGATGCGCTGGACTGCAAGGTTGGTTTGAACTACAAGGTCAGCGGTTCAAGCTTACCAGCTGCTCCTTGGAAATCGTATAGGGTTGCTGTGAGTCGGAACCGACTCAATGGTACTTAACAACAACAGCCCTTCCCCAAAGAATTCTCTGCTCTTCAATTTATATCACATCAAAACAGTAGTTTTAGCACCTTTGAGAAACTCAAACTGTGTTCCTTTAGATGTTGTTTGAGTTTGGGAAACAAAAAGACGTCCTAATGGGCAAGATCCAGGCAGTAGGGTAGATGGGGACTGGTCTCCCAGTGACATTCTCAGAGGTCAACCCTGGCTACTCTCAGAAAATGAGCAGGTACATTGTCATGATGGAAGAAGATTCCTCAGTACAACTTTCCTGGCCTTTTTCTAACCAGTTCAGTCTTCTAAAAACTTCTTCCTAATAAGCTCTTGTGATTATCTGTGTGCTTTAGGAAAATCTATCAGTTGGACCCTTTTGAAATCCAAAAAACCAGCTGTAGTTGCCATAACCTTCTCGGAGTGCTGTTGTGGTACTTTAGGACAAGCACTGGACCGCAAGGTTGTCTGAACTGCAAAGTTGGTGATTCAAACTCACCAGCCGCTCATCAGAAACCCATACAGGGTTGCTATGAGTCAGAGCTGACTTTACGTCACTTAACAAAAACAACATAACCCTCTTAGCTAACCTGTCTGCCTTGGATCGAAGTGGCCCACTAGGTCCCCTTGGAAGCCACTGTTTTGATTAGAAGTTGTTTTTTTCCTAAGGTACTCTAACGAGACTCTAAGTGTGTTACTGAGAGAACTTATCTGCAGCCATCCCTGACTGCAGAGACGTGATTAAGCACAGTGTGTTTGGAATAAACCCACGTATATAGGAACTAGAACCCTACTAGCGATACTAACTTGTCACAGTTTCTTCACAGAAGACTTACTCTGATGCTACTTATGAACACTCAGAAGTAATGTAGCAAGATTGCTTCCTGGCTTTCTTCCTGAGGTTCACAACTAGGGCAGTGTAGTGCCTTTTGGATCCTTCAAATCTTTTTCTTGTCACTCGTGTTGAACTGCTGAATGCACTTTTATCTGACCAGGTGAGGAGAACCCAAAAGCAGAAAGAAGCATGAGAGCAGCAGGTTAGTGGGCTGTGGTGAGCCACGCAGGGTCTGTGTGCATGTGTTTATTTGCAGCTAACAACGATCACATGGCTGATAGAGACAAAGACCTCCATCAGCGACCAGAAGCTTATTAGAAGCTTTCTAAAATCCTGCTGCTCAATTCTGCACGTTTGCTGCAGAGAAAAGAGGATGTGGCACTATAGGAATCTGATCAATAAGAAAAAAGGGATTCTGGGATTGCAACTCTTTAGGCTCTGTTAACTGCAGTTTTATTGTTTTGAAGATATTTCCTAGTCTGGCAAAGCCAAAAATTCATGGCGAAATGAACATGTACTTCTTAAGAATAGTACATTTTAACTTGGCACACCAGCAGGCAATTTTGTTGTTGAACACTTCAGTTTCTGTGACTTTCCTGCCACTTCAAGTCACTCAGTTCATGTTTTTTCTTATGCTTCCACTCTTTGGTCCTTTATCTCTCTCCAGATCATACTCTTCCCTTGGAGACTGATGCGTAGCCGGTGAAGCTGGGGTCTTCCTAAAGACTTGGATTAGCAACTTAAATTCCTGTAGGGAAGTAGCTAGTTGGGTCTCCTTCCAATAATTAGTTTTCTTTCCCAAGATTTTTTTCTCACAATGGGTTTCCTCAAGATTGATTAAAATTTGCCTAACCAATTTCTTTGTTTCCCACTAAAAGACGTTGGAGGCCTAGTGTGGGGTTGTAGAATAAACCCTGGACTGCAAGGTTAGTTTGAACTGCAAGGCTAGTGGTACAAACCCACTAGGCACTCCTCAGAAACCCTATAACAACAACAAAATGCATAAGTCCACCCTCGGGCTTTTTTTTCTTATGTACAAAAAAGGGAAAATACGGGAGAGAGAGAAAAGGATCAGGTCAGATTCTTGTTCTCAGACACCCTTCTGTTTCTTCATGGTTATCTAAACCCTAGTGGAGTGATTTGGAATTCTTCCCACACACTAGAAACTGTAAGTTCTTGGTGGCTGAAATAATTTGTAGGAGCCTTGCCTTCTTAGGGTTTGTTCAACAGATGTTTGGAGGTACATTGCTTAATTTAGAAAATTAAATTGAAATTCACTTGACATCTATTCTACCCATTCCGTGTTTTGAGAAAATGTTTATTTAAAAGGTGTCCTAAAGTGGCAGTTGTGGTGTGGCACTGTAGGATAAGCATTGACTACTAACCACAGTGTTGGAGTTCTAACCCACCAGCTGCTCCTTGGGAACCCTATACAGGGTCGCTGTGAGTCAGAACTGACTCAATGGTACTTAACAGCAGCAACAATACTAGAGTCATCTCTTCATTTCTTATTTTCAATCTAAACCAATATTTAACACATCTACCTTGGAGACCTGGTGTGGCGCTCTGGGCTAATGCATCAGACTGCAAAGTCATTTGAACTGCAAGGTTGGTGGTTCAAGCTCACCAGTTGCTCCTTGGAAACCCTATACAGGGTCGCTATGAGTCGGAATCGACACGATAGCACTTAACAACAACAACCTTGCAATACAGGGAATCTGTAAATATTTTTTGGTCATTGTTTGCTTTTATTCTGGTATAAGCAATATTCTGTCTTCAAGTTGTCTTAAATCAATGTGTGAGAAGCAAAATTGATTCTAGCACTATAATGACATTTTTAAACCACTGCATATAATGATGCAAACACATCTGAACAGTGGGTTTTCTCCCCTGCTGGTAAACATTGCTTCTCCAGTTTATCATTCTAAATTGGGCTCATTAGCCCAGAAGTTCTGAAACACTTCCCCATTTTCATATTCCTAATGAACGTGTTGCCCTCACATTTGTATAATTATACCTTAATGTGTGTGATTGGTTGGTTGGCTTTGTGCCCGGGAAG